AGGAATGCCAGAGAGCAAACACCTGGAATATTAAATGGCTGGGGTTATTCAGAGTGGTGAACTGATTTTTCTAGGAAGATGCCTGCACTTTTTCCTGTGCACAGAGATATGAAAAAGTAATATATAAAAACACTGTCCTTCAAAGGTCAGGATAATTACTCCAGCATTGCAAATCTTCCTTGGCTGTGAGCAAGAATCTCAAGGTCAAATCTGTTCCCTGGTATCCTACTTGGCAGGGATCTGCTTGTCTGCTTACCCACCTGACTAGGGTATTGTAAATCATACATAATCCTTTCATCTGCCGTGGTTGCTCTCTTGTCCACTACAGGCTGTGGACTACATATGAAAAAAGAAAAAGGAAAAAAAAAAATCATTGTTCAAACACTGAGACTGAGGCCCATTTAATTTCAGGTCAGTGCTCTTGTGTCTCTGAGATATCAGAACTTAGCTTAGTGACTGCACAGTGCTTTCCACAGAAATCTAAGACCCAGACTTTGAGTACGGCTTTGTTTCAGTTTGAATTTCAGTCTGTGTTTTTTTAAACACTATTGCAGTCTATCCTCTGTGACTAATGCTGTGAAATCTTACTTCCTACAGGATTGGAATGACTATGATGAAAAAACAAAGGAATCTGTTGGAATCTATGAAGTTACCCATAAATTTGTAAAATGCTAAAGTTCATACTCCTAATAAATCTTGCCACACTCCTTGATGAAGGAGCTGTAACCATCAGAGATGCTGTTTCCTTGGAGTTACTTTTCACATGGCTGTACCTGAGAAATAGAAACCCAAGTTGTACTTACTGTACCCAAGATGGGTTATTAAAATATTTTCCACAGAGTACTTCTGAGATGGCCTCAGTACAAACTGAAAACAGTATAAACGCTTGACTGAACTGTGCCATTTTCTTAATGTTGTCTTTTCTGGGAGTATAGATGGTTGTGATGGACTGTAGCTTCACTACTGTATCAACAGTAACTTCTTAGAACTTGTTGCCTTCAAGTTTTCAATAGCCTGTCACCAGGAAGTACCCACATTTGATTCTCTAACATAAGCAAGTAAGGTCTCTTCACTCACCATTCCCATCATCAGGAAATGGCTGTAAGTGCTGTTAACTGTTCAGCAAAAAGGTACATCTTAATAGCTTCAAGTAAAGACACTGAGGTGAGTTTACTGCGAATGCTTATTAAGCTTGACTGCTGTTACATCTGAAAATTTGAGTATGATGTCATTAACTAAACCTCCCCTATTTCTAGATAAAGACAGACTTTCTACTTCTTGGCAAGTGTGCTCACAACCTTGCCAGCTCTTCTCACATTTAAAAACAAAAAACAACCACAAACCCCAAAACCTTCTCTAGTGAATTTCAGCCTTTTGGTCTGATTATTGTTTCCTGATATATTATTTCCTTCCTCCCCCCCAAATGATCCCCTTCCTTTCTTTGTTTAAATGAGCAAGAACAATCATGGTATGTTCTAAAGTAAGTTTTAAAGTAATCCTTTTCAACTGAAAAACAGAACAGCACATTACAGGCTTCAGAGTAAACAGCCCTCAGTAGGAAAAGTTTATAAGCTGTTGAGCTTACATATTTAAAGCATGCCTCCCCCTGTCACAGCACTTGCAGTTCATACTTCAAGATGTGGTATTGCCGACACTGTGATAAAAGGACACTGGGAGAACCTGGAAGCTGAGACATCCACAGGAAGAGAAAAGGCAAGTAGGTTTCTGAGCTCTGAACCTCATCTGTCACATCCAGCCAACATGCTCAGACTTTATGTTCTGCTAATATATTTGGTTGTCAAGGTCACGGTGGGCTGTGCTGAAAGACATGAGCTGCCCAAGCAAGTACTGCTGTGCTATTCAGCTCCAGAGAAACACTCATCTTCCCAGAAGAAAAACAGAGTGGAAGATGTCAGAATACAGAAGGCAGAGGAATTGGTGTTACACACACCATAACGCATCTCATGTGAAAAGCATCTGTGTTGTAATCCCAGCAACTCTCAGCACCTTTGGCTTCCTGACTGACAAAGGCCCCTTCCCCTTTTGCTGCACTTACTCTGTAGCTGGCAGAGTCCTGGTTGTGAACAGCACACATGGAACTGTCTGCATCATTTCACCTTACACGCACAGCATCGCTAGGTTTTACTAATGTCTATGCTCAAGCTCTCCTGCAGTCCCTGCAGAGAGTTCTGGTAAGTCTCAGTCTTTAGAACTTCTGCAAGAAGTCCCAGCACATTAAAGACACAGCTCTAGGCACTAAGACTGGCATTTGCTACAATAAATGACATCAAAAGTTCTAGCTGACAGAACAAGGAGGAAACAGGAAAACATTCCAGAGGTTACTCTTCCACATAAGAGGATGTTTGGAAAGAGAGAACCCCAAAAGATGAAATTCAGTGATTTTTCTTTTTAAAGGCACAAGAGCACAGGTTTACGTAGGAGAACAAAAGGATTACTGGACAGACCATGTATGGAAGGGGAGAGCCAACATCACAGCATGCTTCCAGTAGTATTCTTCTCAACCATTGTATGAAACAGGAGCTGTTGCTAAAGGGACTACCCATTCTGGATAATTTTGATACAGCAATAAAAGAACTTTGTGGTTACTAATAGATAGCTTTATTACAATACAGTCTTTTCTAGTCAATTTAACAGCACAGTTGGTGATTGAAAGTTACCTAAAGCCTCCCACTTCATTTTCTGTTTCTCAAAAAACTGTTAGAGTGGAAAGGCTTCAAGCAGTTGAGGCACAATCAGTTCCGATATCGATTCAAGTTTAAAGAGAAAAGTGTGACAAGTTAGTAAGCAAGCTTACTGCAAGAGTGCAAATGTAACCACTCTTTCATGTTTAAAATTATTGCATATATTTTTATGAAATCAAACAGCTGAAGAGCGGTATCATAGTGCTGTTGTCTGTCTGAACACTCATGGAACACAGATGTTCCGAGTTCATGAACTCGGTAACAACACTTTCTATTTTAAATAATGTGTTTTAAGAACACATGGATCTGTTGGAACAGATGGATCTAATTTTGACACTGTGAATGTTTGTATTTCCTGAAACATGCATTCAAGGTCTGTACTTGATTTCTTTAAAATAGATACAAATTTCATAGTGAATCTAATAGTACTCCAGTTCAATGAAGACACATGAAGCCAACCGAGCTGGGCAGTCTCAGCCACGTTGAACACCGATTAGTATGCCAATTAGGCATAGTCTGCATTTTGTAATACAACTGGAAGGTGTTCCAACATTTTTATGTCTAACTACTGATTTTCTTGCCCTTTAAAACATTAAAGATATCTTCTAGTGACTTGTGTATACACTGAAGGAATTCTTTACCATTCCTAGTTGGGTAAGAGGAAACATTACAACCGATCCACTCATCATGTACCTGGTATCCCACTCCAAAGCCATCAGACACCACTGGCCCAAATCCTCCTAATTGCACAGCTGGGCTAACCAACGTGCTTGTAGAAATGATGTTGTGATTAATCCGAGCATAGGCTTGGTCTTGATAGAAATCAGGCAGTGCAATACCTTTGGAAAGGGCTAAATAGCGCAAGCCAAAGAGATGTCGGTCAAATCCCTGACCTGTTAAAATAAAGTAACAAGTATTAGAGAGATGACAAATTTTTGTGGGAAGTAAATCCAGACATTCTGCACTTTAAATGCACGTATCCCAGAGAATGAGGGCGTGCTGTTTAACTGCTAGCCTCAACCAGGAACCGTGATAGTAAACAGAAGTGCAGCGTTAACAGACAACTTTAATAATACGTCGCATTCTTTGATTAACTATTTATCTGAACATATCCAGGTTGTTTAAGACAGCGAAAGGCTTTCCTAAAATTTATTAATCTAAAGAGGAAGAGGATCCAGCATCAACAAAAGGAGGCAAATTTTAGACTCTATGGGGTAATGTTCAACATTCAATTTTACTGAAACAATACAACAAGTTACGCTTCCGGGAAGGACAATTCACAAGAAAGCATTTAGAAAAACACCAGGAGTAGCACAGCCAAAGAATCAGTTTGATTTGGAAGTTGTTAAAGCCTTTATCCTCTGCAGGGATAAGACAGTAACTCCTCAGACATAAAGTGAAAGTTTCTGGTTGCCTTGCAGAGTACAACATGCACTAAGGACTTATCAAATTTTCAAATAGCCCAGCTACTGTAAGAACAAAAACTGAAGTATGAAAAATTCTCAACATGTAAACAGTGAAGTGGGAAGCTCAGAGGAATTTTCCATCATCGAGAAAGGAGTCTTAGAGAATGCAATTTAAGCTGCAGCCTTCTGCTGGTTTTGTCAAGTTTCCATTAACATTAGACCTCCTTAAAAATTAAATAATTTGGTTATGAAGCAAACATTTACAGCAACCTTAACAGACATTTTAGTGCTGTGGTGGTTTCACTCCTTTGGCTTACAGCCAAACACAGTCACTCTCTCACTCTCCCCACCCCAGGGAGTAGGGGAGAGAATTGGAAGGGTGGAAGTAAGAAAACTCATGGGTTGAGATAAAAAACAAGTTACTAACTGAAATAAAACAAGTGCAAAAACAAGAGGGTTTGATATATTCCTACTTACCCATAGCAGCTTCTTTTGTCAAACGGCCATGGTATTTTGAGCACTCCTCTATCAACTTCTGAAGCTCTTCTGTGCTATGTTTGGACAGTTCCCTGACAAAAGCTTCCGAACATTTCTTTGTGTGGATAGAGGCAGGACGTATCGTTTCTGTACGACCATGTTTGAAAGCTGCAGTACTACAAGACTCGTATGTAGCAACAGTCTGATTGTATTGTCGAAGGAAAGCCATCTGGAAGGCAAGCTGAGCCACAGCGTCTGGACTTAACTTCTTCTGCTTCAGAAGGTCCTTGCCACCTTCATGGAACTGAATCAGGTTAAGAGACAGCGCTTCTACACTGGCATCAAATTTCTGTTTGGCTTTGGTAATTCCTGCTTTTAAGGCATCATTCAGCTTAAAGTCAAGTTTCTGTACTGCTTTAGAGGAGTCTACTGAAGCAGGCTGGGCCTGGGGGCTGATGGCGGGTGCCTTGGTGCTATCTTTAAAAACCTCATTCTGGAACCTGAGCACAGCCACACCATCTCCCCAGGAATGTTCAAAATTAATTCCTGCAGTGCCATCCTTAGTTATGATGAGATTAAAGGATTTGTCATACCAGCGGTTAGCACCATCTCCATGCAACATAGTGTGGGACAAGTGCACAAAGTCTTTAACAGGAAAATCATCTAAACTTAAACAAAACACCGCGGAGTCTACTTTTTGAAGAGCTTCTTCATTGCCATTATCCAGTAGATTCTTTCTCAGCAATGCCCATGTATCTCGGTTTTCACTGGAGAGGTAGCCAAGAGGGAAAGCCGGGGCAGGACTGTTGTCGCTAAGGATGTATTTCAAGTGTGCTTGTATTTCTGAAGGTTTCAGCATATTTCCATCTCTGTCAATAACATCAAATACATAAAAATTCCCATTTCTCAGTACCAGCAAATGTTTTGCCTTTTCATCTGTATAAAGCTCATCTCTGTTGAGTTTAGGCAGCCGCGTAGAATTGAAAAGCCTGAAGTACTGAGACATATCTAAGGGGTACGCGTTGACCATGTAGGCACCAAACCAAGCAACTGAAGAAGGCACAAATCGGATAATTTTTTTAAAGATCTC